TGTATTCTGCACCGTCATTAACTGCCATTTCAAAAAAACTATCTTGAAAAAAAAAACAATACGCAGATTTTTTTCCGATTAACAATACTTTCCACACTTTATTGAATCAAAATTTCGGTTCGCAGTGACAGATCATGACTGGTTCGCGCCTCTCTCTTGGGTCTCAAGTGCTTGGTGAGAAATTTGCTTCAAGCGGTATAAGCCACCACTCTCTCGCCCACCAGCACAGCTTCCTGACCTTTCAAAACTTTGCATCCAGCTCGATCGAATAAAACATTGTAACCCAAATCACAAATTTTACTCACCGAGAGCAGGTTTCCTGACAATGAAGGGACATGGTACACGTCGTTCAAAGTGACATCCATCCGAATACCTTTGCCGGTAACTGACACCACTTTTCCGCTTCCAGCACCGCTCGACTTGATTTTGGTTCCGTCGGCCAGACAAATTTCCGGCTGCTTCGCTGCGTTCACGTTTTTCAGGAGCTTCTTATCACTGGTCATGTGAGACGTAGCACCGGAGTCCAAGTACCACCGGTTTGCGCTAGAGGTCGTCACAGCCATCAGACACATCTCCATCCCGCCCAGAACTTCAGCAACCAAATTCGCCTTTCCATCTTCCGACTTCTTCTTCTCATGCCTACCTTTGGTCAACTTCGGACACTCCCGTCGAAAATGACCTTCTTCTTGATAGTAATGGCACACACCTATCTTCTTCTTGTCCTTCGTTTTAGACTTCACACTTTTCATCACCTTCTCGCTGCTATGCACACTTCCACCGTTGCACTCGAAGCGACGACACCATTCGTCGCGCAGCTTGCTCTTCACGAAATCCACCGTAAGTTCGTTCTCCGGCTTGTTTTCGATCACGTTAATCAAGCTGCCATACGATGGCGGAAGGCTCGACAAAATTAGCGCCATAAAAACACGATCTTTCAGACCTTCCCAAATCACCTCCAAACGATTCTCCAAATCCGTCATCTCGTTCAGGTGCTCGGGAAGATCACCCTCTTCCGATAGCCGCAGCGAACACAGCTTTCGCAAGATGTGAAGTGTCGAAGATAGAGACGTCGCCTCGTGAATCTGCTTCAACGAGTCCCACATCTCCTTCGCCGTCTGCTTTCGAATGATGTGAACCAGCTGACCCTCGTCCACCGCCAAGCCGATCATAGCGCGAGCCTTCCCGTCTTCGCGAGCCACTCCGCACTGACCGCTTCAGGCTTTGGATCCGTCACCAGCTTTGACAGTTCCTCCTTCACCAGCAGAAGCTCCATCTTGAACTTCCAGATCGAATAGTTCTGGTCGTTCAGTTTCTCCAACGAAACCTTTGCATCAGCCATTTTGTTTTTCACTCGCGACGCAAAATTGTTCGTTCTTGAAAAACACTTCACGTTCCGGGTTTTCACTATTGTTCACAAATGTACAAAAACTCCGCGTTATACTTGGCCCATAACTTATTGGGCTGAGCTAGCAGGTTCAATAATAACACCGGCATTAATTGGTTTTATAATAAAAGTAAACTGATTTATTAAACATATCTGTACAGTTCGAGAGAATGCTCCCAGTCGGCGCCGCCGGGATGTTCTGAGGCATAACATCTCTGATCACGCCTTCCTTCGGATGGGAAGTAAAGCCGTTGGTCCCCGGTTCATGAGTTGATGGGTCGATAGGTAGGGTCCAGGTGTGGGAGCTGCCTTCCTGGTACGTCGGTAGCATTGGTGCTCAGCACGGAAAACAAGATCGACGGAAAAAACAAACCAAAGGAAAAAAAAAAAAGTTCGAGAGAAGAAACGATAATCAGCAAAATGGGCGATCGCAGTAGACGGTGCGATCGCATAGAAAAGTGTCTCTCATTTCTAATTGTGCTTTCGCTATGACAGCACGCAAACAAGCTTTGCGCTGCTGTGTTCAGCCGTTTGGGGGTTCGGCAATTATTGTTGCCTCCCATCCAATACAAACAACGTAAGTATTTACCTTTTTTGACAAAACCCAGGTAATCATGACGTTTGATTACTGAAAACAATATGAATGAAGAAAAGAGACTGTCATGATTACACAGCACAAATCGATATTTTTACATTAGCAACAATATTTTGAAAAAGATCTTTAGAAATAAATGATTAGATTAGATTAGACTTGCCCAACCAGAAAAAATTCTAGACCGGACTGGAAATCGAACCCAGTCACCTCCAGCATGGCCTTACTTTGTAGCTGCGCCTTTACCGACTGAGCTAAGGGAAACCCTTTGCGCGTGTTTAACTGTTAGTAAAACTGAGGGTAGCGTTTGATACCTCGTCGTGGTTAAAAAGGTCGAAAATGGTTAAAAATTGTTTATAATCCCTGCTAAACTTTAACTGAAATGGTTATGGAACTCTCTCCGAAAATGTATGGTCAAAACAAGAATTTGGAATGGTAATGGTTCTTAACAACCCATAAGTTGTAAGGTTCATTTCCAAAAAAAACCATAATACATAAGGTTAAAACTTTATCACACAAACGTTCATGTAAAGTTCCATAACCTTTTCAATCAAAGTTTAGCAGGGATTATAAATAATTTTTAACGATTTTTGGTAAGGTCAAGTAATGATTCGCATTTATGCGGGAGACGCGACATAGAGTTATAATCAATAATTTTTTTTTTGTTTAAATAAGGTTTTCGCGTGACGCATCTACTCTGATGACCACTTCTTGAACTGATGAAAATGTTTTACATACATTGTAAAACTCGTAAGCAAAGAAGTTGGAAGGAAAAGCTGAAGCATTTTGTTATCATTGTTCTTAACACATAGGTACGACAGAAATGCGCTCCAAGTAACCAAGTAATTAAGGGGGGAAATACAAGTAAATTTTTTTTATCGATTTTTTATATTTTACTTCAAAAAATTGCTTATACTTTGAAGTTTTTTTATGCAAAATATCTAAGCGATAAGACGAGTAGTTACCAAGATATCGAAATTTATGTAACAGCGCTCCGAGCGCCGATTCCGCCTACCGCAAAACTTTAAACGCGTTTTTCTCGAAACGGTGTTTTCCAAATTGGCGGGAAAGATAACTTAAAAAGTTCTCATCCAAATGACTTGAAACCTGGCGCATCTTAAGGAAATAAATTTTTACTCTATGTAAACCACTGATATCATGAAAAAATTAACAATAAATAATTTTCAGGTCTGCCTAAAGTGGAAAAAAAACAGTGAAAATCAACTTTTTTTTTCAGATGTTTTTTTCTAAGGTCCAATTGTCAAAAGTAAGTTTTGTATGTATGTATGTAAGTAGCCACCATCCTAGCTTGGGTCTTGCCCTGCATGCGGCTCCACTCAACAGCAAGATCAAATTCCGTCATCATTCTGAATTCAACATACTGCTGTATGAAGGGCCAAAAAGGGTTGGACGGGCCCATAAGCAGAGGCACTTACGCGAAACCCGCGGGAATAAGAGAATCTCCTTCCAACAATATGATCTAACAAAATGAATAACGAAATTCGCAATACATGTTAAGCTTTCCACGGGATGGTTTGTTAAAGGAGAGCGCGTCAAATTCATTGCAACTGTTGGAGTAACTATATTATTGTAACTATCTAAAATGACAGTACACATTCCCTCCTAGACTCCGGTTGGCACTCCACTCCATTGTCCAGTTACAACTTCAATGATGCCCTGATGCTCCCTCCCGTCCCAGTATTTATTGTAATTTACATTATGAATTTATATATAATCATGTGATATATAATGTATATAAAATATGTAGTAGAATGAAAAATATAATAAAAAATAAAGATGTTTTACAAAATACAAATAACCTAGATTATTGGGTCCTATACACACATTTTTTGTTTTATGTGCCATGAAATGACATAATGCATAATTGTATGTTTTGAAAATATAATACTGAAGTATTGAATCAATAGACCGAAAATCGAGGTTATTTGGACATGAGATATTATATTTAAAAGGATACTACCAAAACGACCATCAAACGCACTGCCCACAAAAGCAGACACGTCCCCTCGAAAATGCAATCGAGGAATGTACAAGAACAATCCTCAACTGGAACGTACTCACCAAATCAATATATCCGGGAGCGCATTCCCGATGTCGTCAAACGGCAAAAAAGGGAACTCGGTGAAAAAATTTGTTATACGGAATTTTCACTGAAAACAACCGCGAATTTCACCATCTAACTGCGAAACACGTTCAGAAGCACTTTTGGTACACTTTCGATATCAATTTCTTTCGAAAAAACTTAATTTTTTTTTTTTTGCAAAAATAGTTACAAGTGAACCAACATCAACACCGATCGTGCCAAGCTCTTTCACGCACCTTGCAGCGCGTACATAAACTGAAATGAAACATTATCACTCGCGATGCCACAAATATCGGGTCCGAGAGAAAAAAAAAATCAAACAACGCAGAAAGCGCCAAGACTTCTGATGCTTGCAAACATGATGAATCACGTTTTCTTTCTCGATTCTAAAACTTCCCAGAAAGCGAGAAAACCACCAATCACACACGTATAGCCGTCCGGGAGGCAGAGTGCCAGCGCTAAGCCCGAAACTATGAAAGCGAACGCACGCACAAAACAGAGAACAAACACAACCGTATCCAAATGGGTTCCGTGCGCGACTGCCAATTGATAAAAGTAAGTTTTGTCCATTTTTCAGGTCTGTAGAACGCCCGCCAATTACCAATCCCTACCGGAGGCGACCTCCTTCTGATGTAACCCCAAGGAGCCACAGATGTCACACACCAATGAAAACAATCTCAAATGTAGAGGAAGATTTAAGCAATTTAATGCAAAAACCCCAAACGTTTGCGTTGTTTCATTTGCTCACAAAAAATTCCGAAAATCGTCGAGTTTTTGACGGGTTACTTGTATTTCCCCCCTCCAACGTTGCCAAGCATATTTACACTATTGATGAAAAGTCATCTTGATCAGTGAAGCAACTTTGGTTCAGTATATGTAGACAACTAACATATGTATTACACAATATTAAACAAATCAAAAACAATAATTTGTCACCATTCAGTCTGAGCACATTATTATGCAGCAACATCCGGCAAACTGTGTATGTGCTTAAGTTTCAAAACAGAAACTATTGAAGAATGGTTTTATACCGCTTCATTCAAATATCATTCCGTCGTTCGTTATTTTGTGCTTCATTTGCATTGTTCGCCTCTTCTCGACCCCAATTGAAACCACCAGGGCGATCTTCCGGTAATGCGGTGTAGTCTGCATCTTCAATTGGTTCATCAAAAATGTTTTTCCTGTGAATGAAGAGGATAATTGTAAATTTAATCCGTATATCATTTTTAACCGAGTAGATTTACAAAAACTGGGGGGTCTTCAGAATATGGAAGCCATTGATTTGATCTGGGAATACATCCTCCAAGAAATAGTAGATGTGTCCTACAACGATACCCATCAGATCTACCCATATAGTGTTTCCGATGAGTACTGAAAATCCTAGCAAGACCCACGGTAGATATGGTGCCTGTAATGATGTAGATAACATTGTCGAGTTAAAAGAAAATAGATACATACCTACATGGCAGTTTGAATACATACCTGGAAGTTAAGTATTCCAAAAAAGTTCATCCGAATGAAGGGATTCCTGCGTGACCAAACATACACCAACATTATTGTGAAAGCTTGGCCCAGAAATAGCAGGTTAACGAAGAATGCAAATATCTATTGATTAAGGTTAAGGAATAATATCATTTAAAAGAACGCTATATTGCACCTTGATTACAAACAAATTGAATTGTTTAAAAAGATATAAATGTATCATAATAGGGCTGAAACACAGGATAGGTCTGAACTAACACATGCCTCGGTTTTAAGAGATGAACTAGCCATATGGCTAAAAATCTCTATAAGAAGAAAAAAAACATGCCTCGGTCAAATAGCACGTGCAATGTATGAGCGAAAGAACGAGTCAGCAAGATAATATTTAAATTTGCCGCGAAATGCTTCAACCTACTTCTTTGTGGCTATTACGCCCCAATTGAAACTCAAGGTTTGCCCTCGACCTACTGTTATTTGAGAGCTTTCGGAGGCCATACAATTGTTCTGTAACAAGTAACTACTATACTACCCATAACAGCATATCAATCCCATCTGGAAAAACAGCAAGCCGAGAAAGCTGCTGCTGAATATTTATTTCTTATGGATGGGACGACCTTGTTTTAATATTTTTAACGATATTTTATGAAAAAAATACACATGGGACTGTTATGCTTTTATGGGCAGTATAATAGTACAGATCAAAAAATTTGATAAATTTTCCAATCCGTAAAAATCTAACTGAGAATCAAACCACATCACGTCATCTTCTAGTATGGTCGATTTGTAGCTACGCCTTTACCGACTGATCTTCGAGAGAGGCCTCTAGCCTCAAAATAAGTGTTCATAAACCAACCAGGAAATTAAATAGCGTTGTGATAGTTTTATCTGTGAATATCCCTAAAAATATCGCAACACCCCTGTGAACACTTAAATGTTGACTCATAATAAACAAGTTTTAAGCTTTTGAAAAGGATACGATCATGACGACTCCTCCAAACAGAAACATCATAATAAAATCTGCACTTCTGCCTCGAAAAGAACCTTCTTCCAGCATACGACAGTACCTGCAAGAAAATTAACACGATTGAAGGTCGGTACTATAGTGTCAGATGCATAAAACACACATAGGCGTGGAGATACTTACCTATAAGTAAATATCATATTGAATAGAAAGTTGAAGCCAAATGTTCCGAAAAACAAGAATGTAGTTCCTAGTCGCCATAATTGGTAGTGTTTCAGGATTAATGTTGGGTTAAAATATAATTGAAACGGTGTCACGATTTCCAAATGCTGAAATCAAGACCATATTAGTCAGAAAGTTTATCATGTGAACGATCCTGTGCAGATGAATGGTTGTTTTCGTACGATTCTTATGCTCTACAAAGCCACGTCATACCGTAAACAGATCACGAAACGATGTTTTAAAACCAGGAATAGGGTTAATTCGATTTTATCGTAAGAAATAAGACTAATAATGACAATAATATACAAACGAGATCAATAACTAATAACTATTTCCTTATTTTTATGAAACTTGTTCCCATCATACTTACAACAGACAATGTTGTGATTACACATGCCGTCGTATATGCTCGTGTAACTACCGGTATCTGGAAATATTCCTGCCGCAACGTTTGATATGCCATAGCAGCTTTCTGGATGAATAAAGAAACTAATGCAAAAATATATATTGTAGAATTCAAAACCTCTATCTATTTGATTATCAAGCGATAAACCAAAATTTTCTGTTTTATTGTACTACTACTCATTTGTCAACAGATGAAATGTAAATATGACAAAAATTGACATTCACATTTTCCCGATGACAAATCCAAAAGGGTCTAAGCCGTCTAAGCCTGGGCTTGTTCAAACATTACGTAACATTCTGCAGAAATTTCCAAAACCGCGTTTTCCCCTTCCTGACGATGCTGTTGGTTTGCGTGGGCGTTCTTCGGGTAGCGAGTAAAGGGCCCACACACCATTTGTTTACAAATGGCTTTTGCGCCGTTTTCAAATGTTAGCACTGATATAATAGATCAAAAATTTAAAACAAAATTAAAATCATGAAGATGTTCGAAAAAAATGAAGGTTAATTCCTAAATAAACACACAAAAAATGGCATGTGGTGGTACACTGAAAAATTACATTATAGCAGGTTCGTCAACAAAGTTTTTGAGCCGCTCCTTCTGTCACTTCGTTTGTGCTTTCATCTAGAGTCGGTGTATAATGAGTCACGCCAAGAGAAAAACAGTTGAACTCGCATCACGGTTTTCGAAAGATTCTCATTCTTTTCACTTGGCAACAGAGGACTTCTACAACAACTTCAAATGACTTCTAGCGAGAGAAAAAATATTGCGGCTGTAGTAAATCATTATATCAAATATTTTGTCAAATTATCTTAACAAAAAATTGTAGAAATTCACATTACTAATCAATACCGAGCGTATCCCATGACAATTTAACGCGCACTGCGTGTTTATGCTCATTTCTTTGATTATATTTTATATTTTATTGCAATACCTTTCGTGGACCTTTCATAGCATCGTAATGTTTATTTACTTTGCACGATAGGTAGCCGGTTTCCCGCATAAACGCGAACCATAAATTGACCTTACCTAAAATGGTTAAAAATTGTTTATAATCCCTGCTAAACTTTAACTGAAATGGTTATGGAACTTTACATGAACGTTTAATGATAAAGTTTCAACCTTATGTATTATGGTTTTTTGGAACTGGACCTTACAAATAATAGGTTGTTAAGAACCATTACCGTTTCAAATTCTTGTTTTCTCCATACATTTTCGGAAAGAGAACTATATTAGAACCTTTTAACTTATGGTTTGAGAACTTTAATGGTAATGGTTATGGTAGTCAGTAAGGTCCACGAATGGTTTTGTAACATCGATCAACTTTATGTGGAATATATCGCGAATTGGTTGCCTGTAATTTACTGATCACCAATTCACGATATATTCCACGTAAAGTTGAGCGATAATACAAAACCATTAATGGACCTTACTGACTACCATAACCATTACCATTAATGTTCTCAAATCATAAGTAAAAACGTTCTTATATAGTTCTCTTTCTGAAAATGTATGGAGAAAACAAGAATTTGGAATGGTAATGGTTCTTAACAACCCATTATTTGTAAGGTCCAGTTCCAAAAAACCATAATACATAAGGTTGAAACTTTATCATTAAACGTTCATGTAAAGTTCCAAAACCATTTCAGTTAAAGTTTAGCAGGGATTATAAACAATTTTTAACCATTTTAGGTAAGGTCAATTTATGGTTCACGTTTATGCGGGTTGACAGTTCAATAGGTAGACTTGGCTTCACTCTTGGAGATTTCATTCGCGAGAAATTGACGGCTAAAGTCATTGTTTACAAAAGCAATTACGCCCCTTTGAAATGTTGGCACTGAATTTTTGTCAGGGTGCGGGAGTAATAAATTTTATAAATTGTATCATGATTTCAATTAAATGTTTGATTATCACGATAAATTTTTATAATTTGACTTATTATTAACACCATTTTACATCATTTTTTCATACAAATTGGTTTATAAATCATAACCACAAAAAATACTTCAATTTACCCAACGCTAAGTAACTTTGAAGTTGTCGTTGAGTAAAAATAACCCAAAGATGGGTAAAAACAAAACCCTGTCGATTTGGCTTCAGTGACGTCATTTCTAATTTGCGTTCGGTATAAAAATCATTGTCCGCGTTGTTCTGTTGTGAATTTTTCTTGTAACCTTTTTCATAGCTCGATTTATATAATTGTTTTCGTTTTTTTGGTTCCGATACGGCATTCCTAGTTTCGTTTGCTAGTGCGACGCGAGTGTCACTGATATCAACAGCTATCTCGATCGGGAACAATCTTCGCATGAATTCTAAATATTGAAGCTTCCGGCCTAGTTGCTAACGCTGTCTGGTAAGACCGAGGGTAAGACGACTTTTTTGCTATTTTACCTATCTGAATCCTTATTTTTTAAATTTTCGATTATGCAACACTTCTAGCATGAGGACCTATAAATACCGACTAACGAGTCACTGCGATTGAAGGACGTTGTTTTCGATCAGGATGTTCCAGCATTATTACGGGTTTTTAAGGGACGAGCTTCTCGTGGCTATCATCAATTAGTTTGGCTTGTTTTTTTTTCTGAGTTTCCAGGACATTACACACTGTGTGGTAAGACTTGAATTTAAATTATCTGATTGTTTGTAAGTGATGTAATATTGTTTTTGAATCAAACGATTGTTACTTTTTGAATAAAACTATAAAAAATCGTTTCCTGGCACGCTTTTATTACTATTTACATCCACTCCTATTATTGATTACACGAAACGAAAATCAATTATTTAATTCATGTGTTTCACTTATACATTTTTGCCAAAGCATCAGCCTTATATATTCCATGAGACAAACCACATAGGTCCTATTAGAATGCATAAAAGGTATGTGTGACCGCTTATACATTTCATTTGACACATGATCTTTATTAACTTTTTGCAAGGCGTCTGCTTATTAGTTGACTTATACATTTTATGAATAATCAGCAATGGAAATTTGCCAAAAGGTATAAGGATATTTCTATCCGTGTATCTTTTCCCTCATCAAAAGTTCCACCAAAGCAGTTCTGTCCGTTGAGTAATTTTAACCCAATGGTAGGTTATTTTTTGGTGATAAAATTTACCCACTGGTTCATATTGGGCTATTTACCCAAAATTGGGTATTTTAGTGTTTACCCAAAAATACCTTCTTGCACGGAAGTTCGGAGTTGGGTGAAAAAAACTCAAATTTGGGTAGTTTTCTATTTCCGGGAACCATTCCCTCGTTTTCACCCGGACAAAAATGTAAACAATAACAAAACTTGTGAATTCCGGGAAATAAGTTCGAAATTTCCGAAAATCTTGAAACTTGAGGTAAGTAAAGGGCCACCCACAATAGTCCGTCACCGTCACCGTCACCGTCAACGCATCCGTCATGTACTAAAAAGGCTGACGGACGCATTGACGCAGCGCTTGCGCACAATCATGCGTCACGCATTGCGTTTTGACAGTAGCATAATCTCGTTTTAATCATTTGTTTTGGTAGAAGATTTCATATGTAAAAAATAAGTCCGAACATTCTGAATTTGGGAGGCGATTGGTGAATGGCGAGTTGGATTTGCAAGCACCGGGCAAGTTGCCAGGCTCAAATGAAGTGATGCCGTATTTCATTGTTCCCCCTGGATATGGCCCCCGGCTGCATTTCCTTTTAAGAATAACTTGCTCCGGCCATATCCATCAGATGTTTACCTACCTCCAATTCAAGACAACTTATATCAACGGCTGTCCAGAGTCAGGAGGGATGGTGATGGGAACGTCAGTGAACTTGGTGAATGGCGTACATTAGTTGATCCTCTGAGATGTATTAACTCTGCGGCCCTTCAGAGAGGCAACAATGCGACACGATCTGTATACGTTAACCGAAATGTGTTGGCCAAACATGTATTCACACCCTTGATTCACACAATATTGTTAAATAATATAAAAAAACATTGCAATAGTTTAAATTGTCTACAAAGCTATTTCACTAGTTGTATTTTATTGAAAAAAAATCACTGACTTTTGTTTGGAAATTGGGGTTGGCCCTTCTTACAAATGCAAATTCCTACTATCAATGTTTTCCATGATGTGTTCAAAGCAACACGGCACAAAATACGCTTCTGATTACGCTGATGTGACAAAACAGCAACATGACGCTGCGTCAATTTTGAAAATTTTCAAAGTTTAGCACAGCGTCAGCGTTTTAGTACTGGCGCGCAGTGAGCGCAACGCATCTTTGTGGGTTGCTAAACTGCATAGCGTTGGCTCAAACCAAGCTGTCAGTTGACGCTGACGCTGACGGTGACGGTGACGGACTATTGTGGGTGGCCCTTAAGTACACGGATAGAAATCCCCTTATACCTTTTGGCAAATTTCCATTGCTGATTATTCATAAAATGTATAAGTTATTAATAAGCAGACGCCTTGCAAAAAGTTAATAAAGATCATGTGTCAAATGAAATGTATAAATCGTCACACATACCGTTTATGCATTCTTATAGGACGTATGTGGTTTGTCTTATGGAATGTATAAGGCTGATGTTTTGGCAAAAATATATAAATGAAACACATGAATAAAGTAATTGATTTTCGTTTCGTGTATACTGCAGTTCGAGCTGCAGTTGCTAAATATAATCAATTTTATGTTTGTTTCCTTCATTTTTTTCCGTTGATCTTGTTTTACGTACTGAGTACCAATGCTCCCGAGGCCAGGAAGGCAGCTCCCACACCTGGACCCTACATATCGACCCATCAACTAATGAACCGGGGACCAACGGCTTTACCAAGTTACCTCTATGGCTTTACTTCCCTTCCGAAGGATGATCAGTGAAAAAGAAAACAAAACATAAAAAAAAAATTGGCCATATTATTTCCGAAGTGATTTGAGATTTGGGCATAATTGCATTTGTAAACAAACAGGTCAATCACCGATTTCTCGCGAATAAAAGCTGAATCTCGAAACGTATTAACACTATATGAGGCAGAGAAATGATTCCTCTATCATTTGGTATAGTTTGTTTGTGAGATTGAGCTTTTATTCAAGAGAAATCAGTAATTGACGTGTTTGTTTACAAAAGCAATTACGCCCAAATCTCAAATCACTCCGGATTTTTGAATCAATAAACCTATTTTTATTTCTACTGCTTGAATTGTCAGACTTCATAAAATAAATAAGATTGAATCAACAAGAAATCTCTTTTAAAAACAAAAATATTTTTGTTGTTGACCCAGCTGCCAAATTTGACAGCTTACGTCAAATCCATGAAAGCTCTTGTAAATTCGAAAAGATTTCCATTTTGATTTAACAATCCATGGGTTTTGAGGAACAAAAATACTGGATTGTTGAAACAATAATGATTTCTTTTTGCAGCCAAAACAAAATGAAATTCTTATTGATTTTACGTCAAATATTATTACACAGCAAAAAAATAATTTTGATATCACATCAAAGTGGATGCACTACAATCATAGAGGTAACTCTAAGACTAGAAGGTCCCGAAATAACGTGCTCAGCTCTGGTACTCTCTTCGGTCCCAAGCTAATCGATTCACCCCTCGAAACATAAGAAAAACTAATAACCCCTCATTTTATCTGTCAAACTTTCATAGCGAATCAAAACAAACATTGCGTAGTACTAGAATTTCGACTAGAATGGGGTACGTTAATCGTTTGCTTGGGACCAATAGGCTAGTCAAGTAGTGAGCCAATTTAAAATTGTTAGTTTCGTATTGATTGTTGCTACAATCATGTCGAAAATTTCATGTAATGTTTATGACCACATAAATAAACAAATGCAGTAAAAGCAGCGTAATGTCAGTTCATGCATTGTATTAATGATAATTTTCTCCTTTTTAGCAAGTAATATTACACCATATTTTCGACATGAGTGTAGTGCATCCACTTTGACGTGATATCAAAATTATTTTTCTGCTGTGTGTTCCGTGCGAAACAAGCTATAGTAGCTTCCAAAACACAACGCAAACGATCGTCATTCAAACCACCCATCGTGGCAACAACGCACTCCAGGTAGAATTTTAAGGACACCGAACGAGAAGGGAGAAGCACTATATACTTCTCTTCAACATGCTGCTGCCTGCTGCTCGCCGTAGCGCACGGCAGGCAAGTATATAGGACCAAAAGTAGCAAAATACGATAGGACGACTGCTATAAAAGCGACACAGCCAGCCAGCGTTTTTTGAGTATTATTCCGACCACCATCCAAGTTACATCCAGTGAAGTAAGAAGGCAATCTGTAGAGAAATAGTGAACTAGTTAGAATAAAAGTAGTGTTAAGGTGATAATTTGATTAGTGTGTTGAATCTTTCAATCCGAACGAAATACAGTCCACTTCCAACCCACCGGAGTTGGCCACGGTAAACGCGCCAACATAGTGGTCCTTCGAGCCGGATCCAGCGCCGCCCGTAGGAAAGGATTCGACACCATCGCCACTCGACCGAGTGTATTCCGACACGCTTCCGTGGTGTGCCAACCACGACGTGTACCACCAGGAGAGGAATCAATTATTGATCACCGCCGCTTGCGAATCCGATTCGCAAGTTTCAACCCGCCCGCCGAAGGATTTTTCTACAGAACCGCTATTCCGAAACCATACGTACTCGTGCTGTGTGTAACGTACGACGTGACAACGAGTTCATTATGCCAGTGGATCGAACCCCGAAAGGTAAGCCTGGTGCTAAGGAAGCAGCTGAGGGCACAGGCAAGGAGAAGCAGCACGACGAGTCAGCAATAGTCGAAGGATTTGCAGAATGGGAAATCAGTGCTGATTCCGAAACCGTGAAGGAAATAACGTCGCTTTCCCGCCAGCGAGACCAGGTCACCATGAAAGTAGTGCGTGTGCAAAGGGCGCTTGTTGCCGCTCGAAACTTGGTGAGCCTCTCACAACTCAGGACGTACATGAAGAATATCGATGTGGCCTACAACGAATACAGCGCAGTGCATAGCAAACTGGTTGCTATCATTCCCCAAGAAAGTTTTCAACAGCAGGAGGAAGTTTATGTCGCATTTGAAGACCGATACAACTTCGTCCGCACGACCATCGATGAGCTAATCATGGCACACGAAAATGCCAGTGTTCGTTCTCAAGCCCCGCAACAACAAATCATCGTCCAACAGCAACCGTTGAAGGCTCCAATTCCAACCTTCGATGGTGATTATGCCAACTGGCCGAAGTTCAAGGCCATATTCCAAGACTTGATGGCCAACTCAGGAGACTCGAACGCGATCAAGCTGTATCATCTGGACAAGGCTCTGGTTGGTGCAGCAACAGGTGCTCTGGATGCCAAAGTAATCAGCGAAGGTAATTACCAGCAAGCGTGGACCATTCTCACCGATCGCTATGAAAACAAAAGGATCATAGTCGAGACGCACGTTCGTGGTCTGTTCAACTTGCAAGGAATGTCATCCGGATCCCACAAGGAGGTGCGACGTCTGCTCGATGAGTGCACCCGCCACGTCGAGAGCCTGAAGTATCTTGAACAGGAATTCCTCGGTATTTCCGATTTGTTTCTGGTTCATATACTAACGACCGCCATGGACAACACGACCAGGATGGCATGGGAAGGCACACAGAAGAAGGGCGTGCTACCCAAGTATGCGCAAACCATTACGTTCCTGCAATCGAGATGTGAAATGTTGGAGAACTGCGAAACAGCTTTCCAGAAGGTTAATGCGCAGCCCGCTTCCAAATCGACCCCGAAGGTACAAGCATTCCAACCGAAAGCAAGCAACCCGAAGGTCCATGCCGCCGCAACCACACCAATCAGCAAGGAGGTTTGTGATTTCTGCCAAGGTGCACATCGCAACTACCAATGCAATGCGCTTGGTAACATGTCCTTTGACAAACGGATGGAGAAGGTACGCACAACTGGTGTGTGTTTCAACTGTCTGCGCAAGGGGCACAGCTCCAAGGAGTGTTCATCACCGAGGTGCTGCCAAAAGTGTCAGAAACGGCATCATACACAACTCCACAACGACGAGGTAAACCGAGAACCGAAAGCCAACGTGTCCGTTCCGAAAGAAGAGTCCCGCACAGTTCAACCGAACAGCACGGTAGCAAACCCGCCATCCGGAAGAGATATACCGAGCACATCCTGCTCGTGTAACTACGCCGATTCCACGAAAACTGTGTTCCTGCTGACAGCGGTTGTCAACGTGCTGGACGAAAACAATCAACTGCATTCATGCCGAGTACTGCTAGATAGCGGCTCTCAGGTAAATTTCGTAACAAACAATTTTGCAAATCTTTTAAGAATTCAGAAGCATCGTGTCAACGTTCCAATCTGTGGCATCAACGACGTCAGGACTGTAGCCCACGACAAGGTGATGGTCAACATCCGATCTCGACTCACCGACTTCCAAGCACACGTGGAGTGTTTGGTTACGCCCAATGTGACAGGTGTCATCCCGCCAACAAGAATCGACGTGTCATCTTGGAACATTCCCTTCGGCGTCCAACTAGCCGATCCGGAATTCTACAAACCGGACAAGATCGATATGCTTCTTGGGGCAGAGTTATTCTTCAAGTTGATGCGACCAGGACATATCAAACTCGATGACAACCTCCCCGATCTCCGTGAAACCTGCCTTGGATGGGTTTTAGGCGGTGTATTCACTAACACGATCAACGCCAATCAACCACAACATTCGCTCATCGTATCGTTGGATGCACGCAGAAAAATTTATCGTTGGAACAAAAATATTTGAGGTAAATTTAAACGTAAACTCAGTTTGTTCTGGCCACAAAAATAAACAAGGTTTATTTCAAACGTATTCCATGTTTGAAGTCATGTGATATTAATGTTTAAAACAAAAATTATGTTACGTTCATTTTAAAAATATTCGTGTTGAAAATAAACGTGAATATTTTTGTTTGGTTTGACAAGTATGTGAACAAAAATAAATATGTTTATTTTAAACATGCTTCTTATGTTTGAAAGAAGCATAGTTAATTTTAAATTATATTAGCACGATAAAGCAAAAAATGGATTGCAATGAGATGAAAAAACGATCTGTAGACAAGGTATCTAAGCTCCTGCTCTTTTTCGGGTGCGATTAAGGGTAAGCTGTGGATGTTGGGTCCTGGTCCGAGATGCGGGGACCCGTCGGGGTGAGTGTCCGGAAGTTTCAGTTAAGTAAAACCAGTGAAACTTTGTGATATTAGCGTCGTTTCGTCGTTTCTAACGCTGGTCCTCACGCCGGCGAAGGATCCGGAATAGATTCAAAATCTATTTCGGATTTTCGTTTTTCTTTCGACGTCAGTTGTGGAGGAGGATGATACAGGATCGGCATCAGAAACGACAGAGTGACATCGATACCGCTGGGGCTCCTCCGGTTTTATCGAGCTGGAACTTTGTTAAGACACTTACCTAGGTGGGTTTCCGAATCCATGACTTCGATTTTGTTGCGGGCCGTTTTCAGTTGATTGGGGCATTTTTTTCCGAATGTAAACAAGAAGGAAAAAAAAAGGCAGGCACGCTAAAAATCGTTTACCCAAATTCTATATTGTTGAAATAAACATGCTTTTGACTTTAATTCAAACATATATATTTTTGTTGCAAACATGTTTTTAATTTATTTTTAATTATTCATATGTTTATAGAATGAACATTTATATTTTTGATTTAAATGAACAAAATTCGGTTCCGTGTGACATCGAGGAATCCATTCAACGATTTTGGAGGCTCGAAGAGGTGCCAGATTCGAGTCCTCTGACGAAGGAAGAACAGGAGTGTGAAGCCCATTTCGTCGCCACCCACCAGCGTGATGAAAATGGACGATACCAAGTGAGGCTACCGTTCAAGGATAACGTGCACGAGCTTAGTGACTGCCGAGCGGTTGCTTTGAAGCGATTCCAGATGCTGCAGAGGAGGCTGCAGCGGAACCCCGATTTGAAAGAGGAGTATGTTCAGTTCATGCGTGAGTATGAAGAGCTGGGACACTGCCACGAAGTACGAGAAGAAGACGATCCACCGCACCAGCAAAACTACTACCTGCAGCACCATGCGGTACTTCGCCCATCAAGTTCGACCACCAAGTGCAGGGTGGTATTTGATGCCAGCGCCAAACCAACAGTGAACAACCGTTCACTCAATGAGGTTCTACAAGTCGGTGCAGTGGTACAGAAAGAACTCTATGACGTCATACTCAGGTTCTGCAAGTACCCAGTTGCATTCACAGCCGACGTGCCGAAGATGTATCGACAAATCAAGATGCATCCAAGGGACACACACTATCTCCGTGTTTTTTGGTGTGAGCAGCCGTCAGAGCCACTCCGAGTCTTGGAGCTCACGACGGTTACATATGGAACAGCATCGGCTCCGTTCCAAGCTACCAGGTGCTTGCAGCAGCTCGCCGATGATGAATCAACCGATTTTCCGATCGGTGCGCAAATCGCCAAGGAGGATTTTTACGTCGACGATGCACTTTCCGGTGCAAATTCACTTCCGGAGGCCCTAGAAGCAGCAAGGCAGCTTACTGAAGAGAGGAGGGTTTTCGCTGCACAAGTGGTGTTCCAACTCAAAAGAGTTTTTGGACCACATTCCAAACGATCGACTGGAACAGCCCGTTCCATTGGGAGAATACGGACCGAATGGAGTCATCAAAGTGCTAGGCTTGCTTTGGGATCCAAAAGCCGATCATTTCCTCATCGCAAGGCCGCCACAATGTGATTTGAATCAACGATCAACGAAGCGTATCATCTACTCCGAGGTGGCCAAGCTCTTTGACCCGTTAGGACTTGTGTCACCAGTGATTGTCGTCGCCAAGCTACTAGTGCAACAGCTGTGGAAGCACAAGATTGGCTGGGATGAGCCCGTCAACGACTCGATACAGGAGCGATGGGTTGAATTTGCAAATACCTTGCCAGCACTCGACAAAATCGCCATACCAAGAAGAGTTACGTTCCACGACGCCGTGTCCTACGAAATCCACGGTTTTGCCGACGCATCATCATTGGCGTATGGTGCATGTGTTTATGTTCGAAGCCTGTTCTCCAACGGTTCCGCCAAGATGAAGTTGCTGAGTAGCAAGTCCAAGGTTGCTCCGCTACATGACCTTTCAACGCCTCGAAAGGAATTGTGTGCCGCATTGCTACTAACTCGACTCATTCAGAGGATTATCCCAGCCATGCAAATGGAATTCCGTGACGTGGTCCTCTGGTCGGACAGTCAAATCGTTCTGGCGTGGATGAAACGATCAGCCGATCGCCTCAAGATTTTTGTCCGAAACCGAATTCACGAAATCAATACCTCCACTGCAGGATATCGCTGGTGCTACATCCGATCTGGTGATAATCCAGCAGACATCGTGTCCAGAGGTCAGCTACCAAACGATTTGCGCAGAAACAATCTTTGGTGGACCGGACCAAGTTTCCTCACGAAACTAGAGTACGACGAACAGGAGTTAGTCGATATCCCCGACCAACAGCTTCCCGAAATGACAAGCACCGAAATTGTCACTTCGGCTGTGGTGGAACAGTTTCCACTGTTTTCCCGCTTCAGTGACTTCAGGAAGATCGAACGCATCATGGCATTGGTACTTCGATTCATCGCCAACATCCGCACCAAGAACAGGTCACAACGTATCTTCAACCGGTACGTTACTATTTCCGAACTCCGTCGATCGAATTTCACCATTATGAGGATGGTTCAACAGTCAGAGCTAGCTGACGAAATACGTCGTGTCCAAACCAACAAACCGTGCCGCAAGCTAGGAGGCTTGAATCCAGTGTTCGTGGATGGATTGCTTCGAGTTGGTGGTCGGCTGCAACATTCGAATCTACGAGCCGAGACGAAGAATCCGATTATCCTTCCGAACAGACATCCACTAACGAAGCAGCTAATCCGCACAATGCACATCGAGCATTTGCACCTTGGGAAAAATGGCTTGATTGCTGCTATGCGCCAGAGGTATTGGTTGCTGAGCGCCCGTTCAACCATCCGGCAAGTGACCCGCAATTGTGTAAGATGTTTCCGCACAAATCCAAATATGTCAACGCAGCTGATGGGCAATCTTCCTCAACCGAGGATAAATCCAGCACCTCCGTTTGCAGTGACTGGTGTCGACTACGCCGGCCCATTTTGGATCAAGATGGGAAATTACCGATCCAGGCTCATCAAGGCTTACGTGGCAGTATTTGTTTGCATGGTAACAAAAGCAGTGCATCTCGAGGTCGTGTCTGATCTCACATCCGACGCCTTCTTAGCTGCGCTACAACGGTTCATCAGCCGAAGAGGAATGGTGCAACAGTTGCATTCTGACAATGCCACCAACTTCCGAGGAGCACAACACGAGTTGCACCAGCTATATCAACAGTTCCAGGATCAGCAGTTCACAGGACGTATCCAGTCCTTCTGTCAGCCAAAAGAGATCGAGTGGCATTTCATACCGCCGAACGCACCCGAGTTCGGTGGCTTGTGGGAGGCCACTGTAAAATCGACAAAGAGACATTTGGTCAGAGTGGTTGGCTATTCCAAATTGTCATTTGAAGAGCTAACAACCATACTCACCGAAATCGAAGCAGTTCTCAACTCTAGGCCACTGTTTTCGATTTCTTCCGATCCAGCCGACATAGAGGTAATTACGCCAGCTCATTACTTGATTGGTAGACCACTTACAGCCGTTCCGGAACCATCCCTTGAAGACATCCAAATTAATCGTCTGAAAAGATGGCAACATCTACAGAAGATGCGTGAGGATTTTTGGATGTCTTGGTCCAGAGATTATTTGTGCAGCCTTCAACCGAGGTCAAAGAATACCAAGACGACATCCAACCTTCGCCCAGGAATGGTAGTTCTACTGGAGGACAAAAATCAACCACCGCTTAACTGGAAGCTAGGCCGCATCATGCAGGTATTCCCAGGGCCAGATGGATTGGTCCGAGCCATCGATGTGTCGTCTAACGGAGTTACCTACCGACGACCGATCAACCGGATCGCAGTTTTGCCGATTGAGGACAACGAGCCACCAACCCTGAGTGATGTTGAATCTACGAGTCAACCGGGCGGAGTATGTTCCGTGCGAAACAAGCTATAGTAGCTTCCAAAACACAACGCAAACGATCGTCATTCAAACCACCCATCGTGGCAACAACGCACTCCAGGTAGAATTTTAAGGACACCGAACGAGAAGGGAGAAGCACTATATACTTCTCTTCAACATGCTGCTGCCTGCTGCTCGCCGTAGCGCACGGCAGGCAAGTATATAGGACCAAAAGTAGCAAAATACGATAGGACGACTGCTATAAAAGCGACACAGCCAGCCAGCGTTTTTTGAGTATTATTCCGACCACCATCCAAGTTACATCCAGTGAAGTAAGAAGGCAATCTGTAGAGAAATAGTGAACTAGTTAGAATAAAAGTAGTGTTAAGGTGATAATTTGATTAGTGTGTTGAATCTTTCAATCCGAACGAAATACAGTCCACTTCCAACCCACCGGAGTTGGCCACGGTAAACGCGCCAACACTGTGTACGTTTAAAATATTTTTTTCTGCGTGTTCGAATGAAAATCGGCCATTGAATGTGAAACGTCATTTCAAATAAATGGACCGTACATAAATAATGATACAATTTGAAAGGGACCGGGGCTAATCACAAATTACGTCCCCATGGTGACTGAAACAAACACGAGTGTTCAACGATGGCTATTACCATACACAGCAAAAAAAGTTGTTGAATATTACATCGAAACTGCTGCAACCAGGTCAATCCATCGGTTGTGTAATATCACATTGTACACGTTAACCAGCGTAAACACATTAATGTGTAAAATTTCACACATTTCGTGAAAAAAGGGGCCTACTCATAAAATGTGTAAACTGCGTTTACACATTTATGTGTAAACCCAGCAAACGTCAAAAGAAGTGTATTTTTTACACATTTTTCAAGAATGGTTTTTACAGCAAAATGTGTAAAAAGTAATCATTTCTAGATCTTAAATGTAATGGGTGGCATTGTTTTTTATCAACTTCAGAATATTCTTATTTGTGTCAATGGTAAAATAAAGATTGCTCGATTATTGTATATATTTTATGAAAAAAAGAAATGCCATCAACAAAAATAAGTAGCGGCACCGGAGGTGTAGTGGTAAGCGTGATTTCTTGGTGATTTCCTCTCAATCCCAGTCGACGCTGCCGGGATGTTCTGAGGCACAACATCTCTGATCGCGCCGAGGATCACGCCTTCCTTTGGAAGGAAAGTGAAGCCATTGGTCTCCGGTTCATGAGTTGATGGGTCGATAGGTTGGGTCCAGGTATGGGAGCTTCCTACATGGCGTCGGTAGCATTAGTACTCAGTACGGAAAACAAGATCGACGAAAAACAAAAATCAGTATATGAAGTATATAAACTAAACTAAAACTAAAAGCTATGAAAAAAGTATTTAATCACCGTTACCCTCTAGCATGTCCATCGTTGCGCACTGTCCAGTTTGGACCGTAGTTACTTCATTTTCCTGCTGTTCTTCACTGAAAATTAAGGAAATGGCGTGCGTCAACAAAGCAGGATGCAGAAAAGTTTGATGTTTTTTTTACCCATTAATGAGTATAAAAATACACATTTTTTGAGTGGCACTACATTCTCAAAATGTGTATTTTTTTACACATTTTAGGATCTTCAAATTTACACATTTTTTGACAGCTGCATATAAATATAAAAAATGTGTATTTTTTTACTCATTTATGTGTTTACGCTGGTTACCGTGTACGATGTACATCGATTTTGCGAACAAAATTACATCCATTGATGTAAAATTGTATCTGCTTTTTGCTATTACATCATTTTTTCATACATCAGCTTGAATTACGTTGATCGATATTACATTTTTTTTGCTGTGTACACAGAAAAAAAAAGTTGTTGAATATTACATCCAAACTGCTACAACCAGGTCAATCCATCGGTTGTGTAACATAACGTTGTACGATGTACATCGATTTTGCGAACAAAATTACATCCATTGATGTAATATTGTATCTGCTTTTTGCTGTTACATCATTATTTCATACATCAGCTTGAATTACATTGATCGATATTACATTTTTTTGCTGTGTAGAGCTATTACCAACAATCAATACGAAACTAACGATTTCAAATTGGCTCACTACTTGACTAGCCTATTGGTCCCAAGCAAATCGACTAACGTACCCCATTCTAGTATAAATTCCAGTACTACACTATGTTTGTTTTGATTCGCTATGAAAGTTTGACAGATAAAATGAGGGGTTAGTGGATTTTCCTATGTTTCGAGGGGTGAATCGATTAGCTTGTGGCCGAAGATAGTACGCTCGTTTCTTCGGGACCTTCTGGTCTTAGAGTTACCTCTATGCTTTTACCGCGGTGTTTCGGTGTTTTCGTTAGAACCGTATTTGAACCGAAAATAGGAGAACTAGAAAACCGAGTAGAAAACTGATGATGGTACCATAATTTTGCACGGCGAGGTATGGGAGAGTATTATTAAAAAAAAAACGCCTTTATTTAACGAATAAAGTATTTTCTATAAATTTGGTTGTGCATACGAGGTTAGAAAAGTTCAAATCTAATAATCTAAACGAAAACTAAGAAAAAAAATAAATTTTAAAATCATACGTTTATCAGATAGCTTTTGAGGTTTCTTCCCCCGTAGCAGCTTTTAAAAAGTGACAAATATTTTTTTTCGGATAATAAATGCTTTTCAAGATTTCTTTCCTATACCTCAACGTGCAAAATTTTGAGACCATCATCATTTTTCTATTTCTCTTATTCGCCACGAGCGCTATCGTTAGATCGCCAATCGCCGATCGTGTGTTTAAGTTTCGATTTCACTATCGTGATTGTGTTTGGTCATGTTTGATAGTTTATTCCCAACAAACAATTTTAGCTGCAACTCAGCTTGTACAGCCAAACACTAGCTGAATAAGGCAAATTTTGGCTGTATAAGCCTCGGTATAAGCTAGTCTGCAGCTAAAATTGTTAGTTGTGTTGTAGTTTAGAATCGGTAAATTTCGAGAAGCGTGGAAAGTTTTAGTATTGATGGGTTTTATTTTATCAATTTCTGTACCCAAGAAATGCAACGGTGGAGCTGTGACTCGATCGCGCGGATGTATTATTAGGTTTTTGCGATGTGCATTGCATTTGTGCACAGCGTGACTTGGAAAAGAAAAGTGATATTTAGTTATTGTGTGGTTGGAACCAGGCTTGCTTCCACTCACTTGCTATAAAAACATGATTTTCTGAATTTTGCAATCATTAGATGTTATAATCATATTTTATACTTGTTAGATACAAAAAGAGGTTGAAAGGCAAGTGTTTGACACATGAAACCTGTCAAATTTGCTTTCAGATAGTCACAATCAGCGATTTTACGACTAGCGAGCGCTCACTCTGAGTGAACGCTCACGAATCATAAGATCGCTGATTGTAACACTCTGGTAGCGAAATTGACAGATTTTATGAGTTAAACACTTGCCTTTCAACCTCTTCTTGCATCTTACAAGTACACAATATCATTATAACGTCTAATGATTTCAAAATTCAAGAAATATTTTTTTTAATTCAAGTGAGTGGAAGTAACCCTGGTTGGAACCGCTGGAGGAGGAATTGTTTAAAAATGACTAGAGAAAAATAAGCATCGGGAATGCGCTCCCGGATATATTAATTTGGTGAGTACGTTCCAGTTGAAGATTGTGCTTATACATTTCTCGATTGCATTTTCGAGGGGACGTGTCTGCTTTTGTGAGCAGTGCGTTTGATGGTCGGTTTGGTGTGGCTGGTGGCTCGCCCGTGCGTCCTGGCGCCGTTATCAGGTAGGGGAAAATTTCCCCTCTCTGATGGTGGTGTTGGCATGCGTGGGTGGGGTGCCGGTTGCACCGGATTGGGGATCGGATGCATTGTTTGCGGGAGCGGATGCGTCCCTTCGGGGGAGTAATCGAGATTTATTTTCATCGTTCCCATTTGTCAGAGGGATGACCTCGGTCGCATGATGCATGTTCCTCGGGTTTTTACGGTTAGGTGTCTACGAATAATCCATTATGATTTTTTTTCATCTTGAAGCATGATTCATTAAGAACATAAATGTCGCGATCGAACTTAGCAAGCTTGGCACTCGACCGATTAGCTTTTGATGTGTTGTTAGGTGTGTCCTTAACAAGATCATGAGGGTCGTGGTTGAAGACTGACTGTAGTCACGGCGGGTCGTGATGGATTGTGGGGTTTGGTGGTTTTGACGACTAAACATGAAGGAGAAAACAGTCGTTTTACAACGCAATAGAGTTAGGTCGAGATAGCTTAAAAGATTTGAAATATTTTTACACTGGTAAAATCGTCAAGCGTGAAGTAAGGCCGTGGCCAGGGTAGACAAAAGAATCTTATTATTAATTATTATTTCTTGCGTGAGTCGCATCGCGTTTCGCGTCTACCCTGGCCGTGGCCTAAGGGTACGGCCAGGGTAGACGCGATTCGCGACCAATTCAAAAGAATCTTATTATTTATTATTATTCCTTGCGTGAGTCGCATCGCGTCGCGTCTACCCTGGCCGCGGCCTAAGGGGCACGGTAGCTCAAAAATGTGAATGTTTTATGGATCCTGTTCCACACTTAGGTGGCGGCCAAGACACACTTAGGTGGCGGCTAGGACTCACGCAAGAAATAATAATAAATAATAAGATTCCTTTAAATTGGTCGCGTCGCATCGCGAATCGCGTCTACCCTGGCCGCCACCTTAGGCCGCGGCCGGAGTGGACGCGACGCGACCAATTCAAGAGAATCTTATTATTTATTATTATTTCTTGCGTGAGTCGCATCGCGTGTCGCGTCTACCCTGGCCGTACCCTTACGTAAGGAGCAAACGTCGCTTAAAAGCAGAATTTAATGAAGGCATAAGCGCTTTTTCGTAGCTTTTTTGTCTCCAGGTTTAAAAGATCATCGGTAGTAGAGGTTTATTCTTGTGTAAAGGGCACCACCGTGGAGTTTGAGTTTGAATAAATCCCAGGTCCTATAATATTATTATTATATATTCAATGATACATATTTAAAACAGAATCAAAACACAAGTGGAAAAAGCAAT